ATATATATATATATAAAATGAAGAAACATTAGTAAGCAGTGCTGGTGATAGTAAAAAGGAGTTAGTAAATATTAAGGGGAGGAATGAAGGGAATTCAAAATTATAGTGCAATTTAAAGAGGGGTACGGCGTAACAGTGTAAACCCAATTGCATTAACAAATGAGTTGAAACAAGCAGGCGAGTTGTGTTTTTACCTGAGTTTGTCTGTCAAGTTTGTCTTGAGCCCATGCCATCTCTGTTGCTGTAGGTACATTTGATTTCATAATGGAATTTTAAATGGTAAGCAACATGTTAATCAACATGTATATTCTTTCATCAGTAAGGTCCAGCCAACTACCAAAATGCCAAAGCAACTCGTTCTCAGTGTAAGATACATTTTGATGCTGCAACAGGAGCTAGATGGCTGAAAGACTAAAGTATCTCTGCTCCTGCAATTAAAATCAGGACTGTCATGATGTATTCATGTTAATTTTTCAAGAACTTTTGTAGCCATATGAAAAAAATAAACTTGTTTAATAAGTGAAGTTGGTAGTGCTGTGTTTGAATTTATTTGAATTAATCATCCTCTGTTGAGATCTTGGTAGATTTAATGACTTGTATTTGACATTGATTTCAGTGTTACTTTTAACACTATGTAGTGCAGATTATATAAACAGTAATATTCATTTTATTAAGCCATTTTGACTAACCCATGGAAGATGTTGACAAGATTGAAAGGGGGTCGCTCAGTTGGGTCCCGCATGGCTGTAGTGGTTGAGATGAGGCAAAATAAGTAACTTAATTAACTGGTCAAACATATAAAAATACAAACAGTACTTGCATTATAATACTGGCATAGATTCACATGCCATTTTAGAGGTATTTCTTGATTTAAAGGCTTTCACAGTACGGAAACTGCACTTTTAAAAGTTTTTAATGATCTCTTATTGATCACAGACTCTGGAGATTCTGCCATACTTACACTTTTTAAACCTCACAGCTGCATTTGACACCATAAATCATAACATTCTGATCTCTCGGCTTTAGAGTGGTTTAGGTCTTATCTGTCTAATAGAAAGTTTTCTGTCCACCTTGAAGAATTTATGTCTCTGTCAGCTCACCTTCCTTGTGGAGTCCCTCAGGGATCTATTTTTGGCACAATGTTGTTTTCCCTTTATGTGCTTCCACTAGAGTCTATTCTAAGGAAGTATGGCATTTTGTTTCATTGCTATGCAGACGACACACAACTTTATCTGCAATTGAAATTAAAAGATATCAGCTGTTTAAAATTATTGTTGGACTGCCTCAATGACATTAAAACTAGGATGGCTTTTTTTTTTTTTTTTCATTTTAATGAGAGTAAAACTGAAATTGTGGTGTTTGGCTTGAATGGTACCCATGTGACCCCTAACACAGGATTGGATTCTTTACTTCCTTACTTTAAATCCTCCATTAAAAATGCGAGCGTAATCTTGGATAGTGATTTTAAACATAACTAGATAAAAAAGTTTGTCAAGACAAACTTTAAGTTGGCTTGAGAAAGCCTGACCAGAAAGTTTGAAAAAGTTTGAAAAGTTTGACGGTCTGAAATAGTTTGAAGTTTAAAGTAGTTTTAAAGCTTAAAGCTTTAAATTTTGAAGGCAATACAGTCTGTCGGATAGATAGATGGATAGATAGATAGATAGATAGATGGAGGCTGGATTCGTAAAGGTGGAAATCGCGTTCGAAAAGGTGGAAAAGTGAGGAAAAAAAATTTTTTGCAAGTGTAATTCATGTTTTGTGAAACTGCAGAAAAATTAAGGTCAAAATAATACAGATTATGTTTATTTTGCGTTAGCATGAAGCTGCAGTTTCATAATACATGAATTAACGTTACACTTATGAAAAACAGTCAAATGCTGCAAATCTTTTTTTCGTGTACTTGAAACACAATTTCCATCTCTACAAATCTTCTCTTGCGTTTGCAAAATTAATTTAGGCTTGCAACCTTGTGTACACTTTTACAAATCTTACCTCGTGCATGCAAATCTTTTGGGCATCATTTTACCTTTATAGAACAGTATTAAAATGTTTCAAACATCCATTCATATTTGTGAATTTGCCGTGGTGTTTATCACAGTATCCTAGACTTAATTGGCAATCTATTTATAAAACACTCAACACTTATACATTTGATGTTAAATATTGATTGAAAATGTTTACGTTATACATGTTTTGTGTACTGCTTTTTTATTTAAATGTTCAGAGTACTTTTTTTGTCATACAAATGTTGTTAAACCTGCTAAGTTCTGTAACTTAATATACTATTGTGATGAAAATGTAAGTAATTATCATATGAGAATGTTGTACTGTCAGTAATATATAGCCTAGGCTGTGTCTGGTGTGTATGTGTGAAAAGCATCAAAACTGACATAACTGAGAATTATCTAATGACTTTAATTGAACCAAATATGAGAAATACAAAGTAAACAGCAGAACTATTGGAAACCAATTGAAAAACATTTACATATAAACAATCAAACCAATTAATCAATTAACTATATTATACAAGCATGAATGCAATAATCTTTTAATAATGGGGGGAAAAAACTACCCCCTTAACCTATTAAATTTTAACACAGAACTTTCTTTTTAAATTATATTCTTTGATGCTTAGCACCTGGTTGTTAATGTTTTATTTTCATTTTCAGTGGCAGCTGTTCCACAAGGTCCTCAATGTCTCCTGAATGCATTGTGTCTGGGACAACGTACTCCTCGTAATCCACCCCCAGAAGGTCAAAAATGACTGGTATTACTATATTTGTGAATACCAGTACACATACTGTTTTATGTAAAACTGAACCTGTTTTATTAGCATGACATGAGCATTAAAAATAATAATAGATAATAATAAAATATACAAAAACAAAAGGCAGATTTATAAGCAAGTTGTGTTGACTTATGTTACCAATATGGCAGATGTGTGTAGTGATGGGAGGGGCTCCAGTTTGAGAGAGACTTGATTTAAAGAAATAATATTATGCATTACATAGTGTACCTTTACAGTGGTGTGTGTGGAAGAATTGAATTGAATTCTTCCATTCTGTTTAGTGTTTGGGCGGAGGTGGGTCAGCTCAACAGTGTCTCCATTTAACAGCTCGATAAGAGCCTCATCTCGCCAAAGAGAAACTTCAACTGCTGTTGATTTGCAGTTTAACTTGAAGTCCAGGACGGGCACTTTACCGAACTGCACCTGCGCCATCCTCACCTCCTGCAACTACAAATCACATACCAGAGGTAACATTATTGGCGTTCTGTTACAGTACAGTACTCAAACATGCTCCCACCACAAAGCATGAAGGTTGCCCACATGTCTTTTATGCTATATTCTGCAGATTTATAATATCCCAAAAAGGATAGTTCAACCCAAAATGAATATTGTCATCATTTACTCACCCTCAAGTTGTTCCAAACTGTATGATTTTCTTTGCTCTTCTAAATCCGAAGGAAGATGTTTTTCTGTTGATGGATACAAATTCTGGCTTCCCAATACATTACAACAAGAGTGATGAGAGAGAGAAAAAAAACAATACGGGACAAACCAGTCACTCTTTAATCAATGCAAGTGCTGTATGCTGGAATAACTGTAATTTATGCCGTCATCACGTGTTGATAGCGCAGGTGAGACCTGAACAGCACACGTTGCTATCTGTGTTTAAAC